GAAACCATCAGTATAAACAATGCAGTTAAGGACGTGCAGTTGATTTTCGCTCTGGCTGCAATTGGTGCAGCGGTGAAGAAGATTTGTACCGACATTCGCGTTCTACAAGCTATGGGTGAACTTCTCGAACCCTTTGAGAAGGTGCGTTTGGTAGATAGCTGTTCTTGTAAAAAAATCGCACGAAATCGGGCACGATTGCGACACAGCCGTGAAGGCGAAGTAGTTTCAGGATTCTGCTGCGCCCACGACGGCCCACCATTTTAGATTTAGATGTTCGTATGCATGAAGGGGCAGCGAAATTATCAATACCACAGCCGTATAACATTAGATTTTTCAGACCAGCTAGAACTTTCGGCGCAGTTCGGCCTGGTGGGGGCACCGAATGGTACTGATTTGGCTTGTAGAAACCCTCTTATCAGAAACTGCAAGCTCCTCAGACCAAGGTGGCTCACTTGCACCATTTCGTAGCCTCGCAGGAATCTGCAGGTCTCACCAAAATGAGAACTGTCATTTGACATGAACTAACAAAAGGAACGAGTCAGCGAGCACATGCCTCCCTCCGAACCGAACCGAACAGCGCCGATTTTTCTTTCAACTCTACTTGTTCTTTTTGAAAAACTGCGATTCTTTTAGGATCAGATAGGGTCTTCCGCTATGCCTTACAAGAAAAATCCAATGAAAAGTGAACGATGCTGTTCGCTAGCCAGGAAACTTATACATGCTCCGCAGGTTTGCTATGCTCATAGGTTATTCTCTATTTCTTCTTAGCAGTCCGCGCCACAGCTCCATTTCAGGAGGCACTGAATATATTGAGCGATCAGGGCCTAGAACGAACTTTGGACGATTCAGCCAACCGCCGAATGCTCATACCGGATTCAGTACTCACTACAGAGGCTATGCTGTCAACACTACAGGTGAACTATTCAGGGAATGAGGTGAACAAGGAATGAATTTGTGAATCCAAGCTTGAAAAAGATTTTTCCGCGAAGCTTGGTACCCTGAGGTTTTGCTTGAGTTTATTCACGTACACCAAGCGACCAGCCTTTCGTTCGTTTATTGAGTAAATGAAAGCAAAGAGCCTTCACTGGCCCGGTTCTCTGTGTACTACTTCCCGCAGCGGTTGTACTGCTAGTTTGCGAGTTGTACTATAATTAAACTGAATTTAATTGAATTCAATTTTTTCCCGGAATAGCTTGAAAGAAATAATATCAAAGTGAATGTATTGATTATTCTTTTCAGAACATCTTCGAGGGACTTACTGTGCAGACAGAAAACGTTGCGCGAATTGTGCGTGAAGAACTACCATTCCTTGGGCTGGAAAAAGCGATGATGTGGCTGACAGAAGAAGGTGTCGACAGGCAGAAGGTGAACGTTTCTTCTATATCGGTTGTTTTATTTGCTGCTTTCAACGGAAGGCTTTCGTGGTGCGGCCAGCTTTAAGGCCGCGAGCGCGCTGTGTGAACGCGGCCTTATGCTGGTTGCCATAGACGATACGAACCACACGACGTGATGCATTGCATCATCTACCCGGATAACTCGTCCATACCACTCGAATCCTCAGTTACTGGCTTGAGAAATCTTTCTATTAGGTTGGCGGGAATACTTTTTTCAAATTGCTTTTCTTTCTGTAGAGAGGCATGTAAGACAAATTGTACAGCAATACTACTGCGGGTCCTTTACTGTTTTAAGGGGCACCTTATGGATCCATCGCTTCCGCAATGCAAGGGGAGGCGCAATGCAAAGTTGGACTCATAACTTTGGATGCTTCAGCAGGGAGGCGCGATACAAAGTTGGACATCATCTCAATCTTGGCTTGAACTCAGACTTTTCGAGGTTTTCTCGTAATTTCTCGTCCACGTAATGATTGATTACGGGAGGCAACTCGCAGTTAGAAGGAGCAATGTCTGTGCTACACCACTGCAAGGGGAGAGCTATCCAGCTCCAGCTCTATTGCATGAGGAACGGCTAGAACTTTTTTGGAAGTGCGCTGCACTATCAGAAGCATTTGGAGGGGTCGGTGGCGATGGTAGCGGATAACATTCTTGTCCATATTGCAGAAGAAGAAGCAGGAATCAAGCGAGTGGTACTAATAGAAAGACCACTCTTTGATGTATAAGTGCTCACATTACCGTTCACCCCTCTTCAGGTAATGGACAAATATTTTGAGTTCGAAAAAGTGACAGAACTTTCCCGCCAACCTAATAGTATATGAATCACTAATTTAGTGTGCCGGTTTGTCAGTCCGCATGTTGAAAAGACAGCAACACTGACAGGGTACCCTTTCGCCAATTAGGTAAATCACAGTCCTGCCTCAATCGCTGAATGTCCTTAAAGACATAAGGCACGATAATTTGGTACTCGGTCGAAAATGGTAGCAAGAGTGCTATATGGTGGGGAAAATGGCGAAAAGGCGGGATGAAACGGTCGGAACCTGCGAAAAAGCTCCCGTTCTACACGAGTCAGATAGCAGTTTCGGACGAGTTTCCCGTTGGCATCGTGCCAATAACCGCTACGGTAGATAATACTGCATGTGTACTCATATATCCATGAACACCGCAGCCGCTTCACATCAATTCCTTTGCTTCATACTGTACTACGCAAATGAAACGATATGAACATCAGAATCAGTCAACTCTTCGGGGCTGGCGGGCGCAGTGAGGTCCGGGTCGGTATGTTGCAGCTTGATAGGGCGCTATAAGGGTACCTTTCTTGGAAAAGGCGCCACGCAGCGCCTGCTCAGAGGCGCCAAATTCTGTCCTGCTAGGCGTATTGATCTTAAACGTCTTGAGGATTTAACGTGCCACTTGCCTGCGAATATTCTTTCAGCGAAATACAGAAGCTTGGTAAAATTGTATATGTTGTAGGTGGTCCTTATTTTCGTCATAAATACCGAGACCTTGGTCGGTCATTCTGTACCATGGTCAAGCCTACACACCAAACTAGTCATTCGTAACAGGGTGTTTTCGCAGACTAATAGTTGAGGACATGAGTAGTGCGGACGAGTTGTTCGGAGCAGAAGATGCAGTACAGAGACACAGTGGTAGTGGCAATGGCTGCCATTGCGCCCTTAAATTAATAGCAGCTAGACCATCCGAAAACGCCCTATGAGCAGGTTTTATCATAGTAGCGATGTTGGACTAAATTTACTATTTAAGGCCCACGCAGTAATTCGTGAAACAGCCCTTGAAGCTAAGAAAAAGCAGGCCACTGAAGTTGTTCATATGGAGGATATCCTGAAAGATCCATTCTTTGACTCGGTAAGGAAGTGGAGAGCTTACACATAGCAAACTTTTACCTTGACTGATTGCTTCTTCTTAGGTCCGAGACCGTGTGATGGCATTGGTAGACGAGCCGATTCGTTTTACTGGTCGATGTGAATCGCAAACAATGCGCTTCATTAATGAAGAGTTACGTCCTGCCATTGAAAGACATTTCGATTCTGGAGCGGCATGCATGCAGCTCGATGTGTAGAATGTTAGGAGTTGTTGTTTTAAGAGTTAGAAATTTAGTTTTTTATTGACTGTCAGGAAATAGGTGAGCATAGGCATAACCGGTTTTATCTTAGCGCATTAACAGTTTTAGAATTAACCATTTATACCTGGGTATCCTTTGATTTTCTTGTTATTTGGCTGTTTGTAGCTCTATCCTCACCAGTACTAAAGTCGAGGTTTTCGTTACATATGGGTTATCTACGATTTACACCTCGCGACCGCGTCATGAATTGCTTGATTAGACATATTGCGTTACGTTGAGACACAGATTTCAGGTTTTATTCTCATTTTCATAATAGTATATGATAATTAATAATAAAGATATTTTGCCATACCGTGTTTTTGTTCCATGCGAAATACCGTGATATCGGCGAGTTTTGTAAAGACACTCGTTGTCAGTGAGTTGACTCAATTCTGATTTTAGTGTAGAATGTGGTGATTTAAATTCCAAAAGAATCTGGTGCCTATATGCCCCCCTTATTTGGCTCCCGAGATGATTGCGATTATGCTAAGTGCTATTGCGAAGAAAATGTCTATAGGTAAGTTGTGCTTGACTGGTTTTGCTTCCCTTAGTCTTTTTCTGCCAGTGTATGCAGGGAAATTTGGGGGTGTGTGTTGTGTTAAAAAATCGCGGGATCGATATTTTGGACGGAAGGAGCGTCGCCTGTTGCCGCTAAAGCGGCCTCCTCCCTTTATTGCACATCCAGTGAGTACCGGCAGAAGTCCTGCACACACGAAGAAGGGCATAATTTATCACGTATAATGAAACCCAGGGCACGTCGTGTTGTTTGGGCATGGCGATCGATAGCGAGTGTTGGGCGTGGAGGGAGGAAGTGTCCACGAGGGAAACGCGCTATACATTCGTCCCTCGCCGCGGTTAGAGGGCTATATCAGTTATATATACCAAAATGTAGTTGATTGAAAATAAGGAAATGTAGGTCAATGGTATCGTGAAGCGCGCCGTACGCAGAAGAAGAGATTGCGAAGTGCGCGCAGTTTTCTAGGAAAACTGGTGCGAATTGGAAATATCAGGTGAAACCGTCAGTCGATGAGAGATCGGAAGGGAGGGGGGGGGGGTCTTATTGAGGAGAAGTTCAAACGCTTGTCGAAAGATTCCACTAACAGCATGAACGTGCTGATTGAAACCTTTTGCCGTGGTTCTGTCCTATTCGTCTTCGCTATCCGATGCGGATTTCGCATGAAGGGGTAAGCTTTTATATCCAGCCTTCCCATTCGGAGCAAAACTTAGGCTTTTCTCTGTCCCGCAAGTGCAGTGGCATAAGATTAGACAGCTGCCGTCCGCAAAGAGATCATAGTCTATCATCATTGACTATTCTTTGTTCAGCGCTGTGAAGGGTACCATAACTGAACGCTCACGATTTTGTGTTTTATTCGAAATTCGAAGAATGCATACCGGTTATTTCGGCAAACGGCATCATGTCGTAAAGGTTAGTCTTGCGCTAAGATCCGTATCTTCCACGATTCCAACAAACGCTGCAGCGCTCAATGATGCCTCCATTTATTTCCCTCGCTGTTGATGTGGCAAAATGCAGCGAAAGGCTACTGGATTACAGCTACGTTCAGACCTTTTGTGGTGTGGGATTACCATGTGATAATGCTGGAACAACTGGACGAAGGCAGTGCTGTTGTTTGGGATTTGGACACTCGGTTGCCGTTCCCTTGTACATTTGATGAATATTGGATTGGAAGTGTTCAACCCCAAAGAGGTGGAAATTCCACTCAGTACGGCAGGTGAGCAACCTACTTTATCTCAGGATCCTGCAATTATTCAAACTTTGAAAGTTTAAGGTACTTTCGTATGGTTCCATGCGCTGAGTATTTGTTACATTTCTCAAGTGATCGATCCCATATGAAAACTGAGGATGGAAGGTGGTTGGCTCCACCTCCGGATTGGGAGCCAATATTTAAAATGCTCGCACAATTATCATGACTTCATCGTATGGATCGAAGTATTGCTGAGCATAATAGTGTTTGGATGAGGTGCTATGTTATAGCGTATTCTGATAGAGCAGGCATGATTCGAGTTCTTCTAGTCATGTGTTGTAGAGAAACAGGCACAGTTCGGCTTGGAGGGGACACTTTGCACTTTCACTGCTTCCCGTAGCCGTGTTGATTGTTTTACAGTGCTTGACAAGTGGTTCCTGCAATTTGCATTGACCATGCCTCGAATAGGGTTTCACTTACCTTTAATTGATGGCCGACAGCACAATCGAGTAGCGAAAGATGCAAAATGCCCGCCAACGAGCCGAACTGCATCTACCTGTCAATACTAATTATAATTTACACGCCATACGCATATTCTGTTGTTATTTTTCGGGGAATGCCTTTTTTCTCGTTTTTCTCACGGGCTATGAATACGGTCCAGATTGCCGCTGGGCGGGCCAAACAACATTCATCATTGAAACTTTCGCTCTTTTAACTTCCACAAACGGTATAGGGCGGCGGAGCCGGGCCTCCTATCTCCGTCCCCGACGCATTACCTACGATTGCCGTTCTCATGGCTTAGAAGCTCAGTTCACTCTAGAAATCTGGTGTATCTCTTGGGATGGCGATCCGATTTTATATGTTTATTGCTCCAATCTACCACTGGGTCATTTAAATATTTGATAAACCAGGAATCGAACCCAAGTCTGTTCCCAAAATTGCAGATTTTCGTGCCGAATGATGCCTGAGACGCGTTGGCTTTTCTGCGTACGCCGTTTGAAGCATTGGTAGGAATGATCTTGGGTTGATATCTCAGTTATTGAGCGAAATGGCATCGTTGTCTTGAGTTGAACAAGTGTAATCACGCGAGTCTTCGTTGCATTGCTTGCAAGCTGAATACCTACATTCGGACTTAGGGTTCGCATCAGATGGTGCGGCTGAAGTGCGAAGCAGTGTTTGTGAAATATGATCTAATAAAGCTCATTTCCGCGCTATAGCGCTTTTCATACCGCCACAAAAGGGTTGCAACTTGCGACTTTTCTGGCTTCCCCTCCTCTCTGCAGCGTATTTAACGATGACTGAGGGGACGTGTAAAATGGCTGTTCACACCTGTATAAATAAACTCTGTCCTTCTGAATGGATAAGCGCCTATTGACAAGCAGGCCTGGCCTCACCGTTTGCGCCTCAAGCCCCTCAGTTCCCCTGTCCGTTAGCTGTACATGTTATGGTTACGTGCTTGGCCTTGCTATATCGTCTCTCTGGTTCTATCCTAGCCCGATTTCATGCCGGCATTTTGCCAGCAAATTATTGGACCAGCAATTAGTCTGATTGAAACTTTTTTATATCCAACTTTACTCATTTCTATCCTATTTCGCATTCGCTTTCAACCGCCTTTGCCTCGCACAGCCTTCAGCATTTTTATTATTGTACTACTATGAAGCGCTGACGTTGTAATCCTTTACTCTTCAAGTTGCCCTTTTTTTGAATTGGCTCCGACCACTGGGCATCGTTCACTGTGTTGAATTTATTTATGCATTTTGTGTAGAATATTGGCAAATAACTTTTCTAGAATCGCTGATCGATTCCGCTAGGATGTGCAGCACTGCAAGTGTGGAACATTATTTCAAGTTGCACCTAAGGCAGCTGAAAAGTCACGTTGAGCGCCGTTGCGTCATATGCGCCGACACTTCGCACGCAGACTCTTGACATAATTTCTTATGCCAACTGTAGCATCGCATATCTTAGGGCAAACAAGGGACGAAGTTTTGAGACGGCAAGGCGTCCAACGAAATGAGGAGTGGAGACATATAACAGGATAGAGACGCTCACGGATAATGCCGAGCTGCGCCTGAGACCATTTTCGCAATCAATAATGGACGGATTTGGGGCCGATTAGTAAGGAAGAGCTGCCTGTCGCAGCGTGATAAGCGTCTACGACAACAGAGTACCTTTCATATGACTCAATAAGATGTTTGAAGGCAGTTCCAGCCGGCGGCGGTAGAATAAGAATGTCGGCTCAATAGTAATGGTGGGGTCGTAATAGACACAGTGGTGAAGGATAAACAAAAACCTTCGGAAATGCTTTATGTAGAATCCCATGGCTGACCTTTTTTGTATGTGCCTAAGCTGAAGAAAAGGTGGCGGATGGTTCTACCTCTGTTGGTGCATTTCTCTCTCTTATCAACTCACTCTTCACCAGTTTATAGACGGAAGATTAGTGGAACACTGCACACATCAGGTAGGCCCTCAAACAATAAAATGGCGTTACGCGCAGCAGGGAACGGATGCTGTTAATTCCGTCGCGAGCGGTCGGCTTGTTTTTGGTCTTGGCTTCAGTTTTTATTCTGATCGCTTCTTGTCTTCTCGTACAACTTCGTCCAAAATTGTTAATTTTTCTCAGAAACATCATTAGAATACGCTTCTGCAAAAAGATGTCTTACATGAGCAGCTCCCCATAGAGTGACAGGAGCAAGAACGCTCTATAATCGCTGAAAAGGCGATAGTTCGGCGAGCGGTGGGGGGAGGGGAGGAGGAGATGACATTATTTGCAGCTTTAGCTTGTTTCATAGTTCGTTTTTACAGGCTCCACTCTTGGTGAAACCTGTAATCTGTGAGTGGAGCAAGCTCATCGAGCCACTCAGTGACTGAAACCTTTCAACTCGGAAACTCTGATGCATGTATGGCGAAGTTGGACTGCTCGAATTGTCGAAGGCAAAAAGCAGTAAAAGTGGCAATATGCCCCGCCCTGACGCCGAACTGTCCCAAGTTTCGCAGGCATGATCCTGTTCCTATCCTTTTACAGTGCACGTGATAGTGGAGCATCCTGCCACTCAGGGTGCGCCATCGTCCCATTGCAGGGAGAGGGTCGCACTTGGTTGTTCTAAGAGGGGCCAATGGTAATGACCAGAGAAGGACCTCTTCGTCCAACAGATTTCGGGGAGCGGGTGGGGGCACGGGTCTCATTAAAAAAACCGCATTAATGTGCGCGCTACGAAGGATCCTGAATGAGTGCTCCTTGGAGGAGATGATTATGCCGAAAAAATCACATTAAACTCACTGCCAGGGAAGTAATTTACCCCGAGCAGAAGCGCCATTTTCAAAAATTTAGGAACTTCATTTAATTCAGAAGTAATAAGTGACATGGTGATTGAGTAGCGGAATGCCGGTCCACACGTCTGGAAGCTATCTCACGCGGCTTATCCCGAACCGGGCACGGCTGACCATCTCGACGGTGGCGCTGCGCCAGACCGGTTTCCGACTCGTGGGGCGATGGACATCGCTAACACGACCTAGGTGAACGATCGATAGAACTTCAGAGAATTTTTCGCGCTGCTCCTCTCCGCAGCTAACGCTTTTCATCTGTGTCAATTCTGTAAGCGAAAAATAGAGAGCCTGCACAAAATTGAAGGTTATTTTTCGCTTTGCTCTTTGATCTCGTGATGTTTCTACAGCCCGTGTTACTGTAGATCTTATCAGATATTCGCTGCTCGTAACAGTTGCTCTTTTTATTCAAAGATCTGTATCTGGAGCAATTGAGAATCCACCCATTTTTGCAAAACTGGAAGAAATCTGGGGTTCCACACGACTGGATTTGTCAGAGCACTTTTTCTCTTTTTGCTCTGCTGTGTTGGTGGAATTCTTGAAGACAACGGTTTTCACGTTGGTAGTTGGCATTTTTCCACATTTTTCTTTTCTCTTGCAAGCCCAAACTATCTTTTTCCATTGGGAATGCAGTTCATTTTGTTTTTTATACTATAACTTTCTAACTTTCTCTTCTGAGGCAACCACGACGCTGTTCGGCGAGGGGAGGCGGGCATTTTGCACTTTCGCACCTTCAGTAATTGCGGTTTACAAGTCTCACTCTGGTGGAACCTGTGAATTTCTTAGCTAGAGCAAGCTCGTTCAGCCACTACGATAAAACCTGTCAACCCTCGTAAAGCTCCCTTGATGGCTCAACACTGGGAAGTGGCAAAAAAAGCGAAATGCCCCCCCGTCGCCGAACTGCGCCGACAACCTCTCCTGCGAGTTGAAAGCAAATTCTTTCAAATCCCAAAGAGTTCACATAGCTTTGACGCTTGCATTGGGTTGGCCCATAAGTAATGGCGTTTTTTCCCACTCGAAATATCGCGCTGAAGAAGAAAAGTTTTGCCATTGAGTTTTATACCGTTTTGCAGAGAATTCCTTGCCCTACACGATAGTCTTCTTAGTTTTCTTCAAGTTTCTCTTTCCACTAATATTTTAGTGATAAAAATGGAGTGTCAGGTCGACGAAATTGAGCATTTTCGACAGCCTCTCTTTTATGACTCTAATTAAAAAGCTAAAACCGCATGGGCCCAGCTGCTAGGTAGATGGCTGGAAGGCTACGTTTCTTAGGAATACCTATAATACTTTGAGTGATTCGAAGATTTCAGTTTCGACCTCACAGAAAAGCATCGAACCTAATGCCCTGGCTGAGAGCTTACAGAATTACCTTAACTTGAGAGTCATGCCAAAGATTGAGGGATTGTTAGAGGTCATAGAATGCATCCTTATCGTCATCAAGTATCACCTTCACTTGAGTGGAGAAGTTCAAAACCTAGTGGATGGGTTCCGCAGGCAAGATGGCCCCCACGCGATGCTCTTTTACAAGGTCCGAATTCCCACCACTTGATAGCTTGAACCAACTTCAAGCTGTCATAAGACGCATCTTTCTTTGGTCATATATACCACAAGGTTTGAGCTTCTTCTGTAGATTGAGAGCCGAGATACAATTCAAAAAGTAGTTGTCGAAAACTCACTTTTGGGTCGACCCGAATTCTTCCTGTTAATAAAATAAAAGTCGGCGGAAATCATGAAACAGTAGGGAGGAACCACACTATCTTATAGAGCAGGAAATTATCTATCAAACAGTGCAGAACATATTGGGAACAATTGTCGTTTTTCATATAAAAAATTGTGTGACAAAAAAACGCCATTACTTATGTGCCCAACCCAATAGTTCGACTTTTTAAAATAAGGACATCCTTG